GTAGTATCTTTGTTAGACTGGTTATTTTTCTTTTTGTTATCTTTACCCATTTGTAAAGTGTCGTAGTAGTTATCTAAAATAAAGAAATTATAAAGAAAAAGTAATAAAAAACTCCGAAAAAATTTTTTATTTTTTTCGTAAATATTGTCAAGTGAGCAGAACGGGAGAGAGTAGTTTTGATTTAGTTTTATCCTTTTCCTGTACAAACAGTCTTGTGACTTTATCTTTTATTTATATTTTTAAATTTCGAAGATATAATCGAACAATATTACAAAAATAAGAAAATAAACTAATAAAAAATAAAAAGAGTAGCTTCACGACTCATACAAGTAAAGAAATCTAAACTAAAATAATTTTTAAGTAAAGAAAAACTAAACTATTACAGAATCGCATACCCCAACTTTACCCGAAGGCCAGTGTGAGTCAACTATCCAACATCCAAAAATCTAGTCCGTTACCAGAAAGAAATCCTAAGAGGTTGAACTGTTAAGCGGCGCAGAAAATCCAAGTGCGAGATCCATGATCCACCCCGAATTATAGAAGAGGATATCCAAGAAATCCAGGAATCCTGAGAAACTGTCGCCAAAGAAGAGTTGTGTTGTTGTGGAGTAGTATTAGGGAAAGAATTTGTAGATGGGCCACGTAATTTGGAAGCAGCCGAGATACCCTGCGACTCCTCCCAAGCATGTAAAAGAACATTCCGACACAGCCAAATTTCACCATATAATTCGACTTGGAAGTCATTAAGAAGGGGAGAAATAATCTTGTATATAACAGAGAGAGGAAAGTATTGGTTCAAAAATGCCGTTAAATGCGCAGGCAACAATCCTCGAGTAAGCCAAAGACAAGATGGAGAAGGAGCTTCATAGTTCCAGCAATCCAAATCAAAGAAACCGGTATGAAATGAATTATCCAAAGACTTCAAGGATAGGAAAGAAGATAAACAAGAATCTCTAAATTTAATGACTTCAGACCGGTGCGTTAAACACGGATTTAATTCCGGTAAAATATAAGGACAAGTCCAAAGATGATTCAAATCTTCAGGAGCAGAATTACACTGCGGACAGAGCCAGTCAGGAGAATATAAGTAAGGTTTACGTTGTTGAAGAGTAGTTAAGGTAGGCAACATATCCAAAAGAAGTTTAATGCGGAAGATCCAAAATTCAGGACGACCATTCCTATGTGAAGCAAAACCTTTAATTTGTGAAAGGCAAAAATATATACCAGCCCAATCAAAAAGTGAAGGAGCACCAAGAGCAGTAAAACGCGCTAGTGAACAGAAAGATAAAAGAGCACGAGCATCTGCAATAGAGCGGAGAAAATGTCGAATATTCACGTCAATAGGCAAGGAATTAAAAGTCAACAAGCATGGAGCATAACAAAATGTTGAAAGTAAAATAGTGGGTTGTAAAGACGAATGAGCATCTTTTGCCAAGGAATCCGCTTGTATATTGTAGATATCATCACTATGAGCAGGGACTTTAATCAATTCGACATTAAGATTACGATCCATGATAAGTTGTCGAATAGAAAGCCAGAGAAGATGATTAGGTTCTCGGAGCAACTTCGGTGAGAAAGGAGCATCAACAAACCGTGTCCATAGTGAAATTAACTGACTACAATCAGTATGAATAGAGATTGATGATTTACGGGAAAGGGCTTTCATTCCTAATAGTACAGCAGAAATTTCTGAACGCAAAGTGGAAGGAAAGTAAGAAGGGAGATGCATGGAAGAAGATTCCAGAACAAGTCCATCATCATCAAGAGCAATCCAAGCAGAAGTCATTGAAGAAGGCTAAGAATCATTGGCAGGATGGAACGAACCATCTGTGTACAAAGATTGCACTGAAAGTGGTAAAATAGTGTCTTCAATTCTATCGATTCTATCCTTAAAGAGAGGGGAAAGAGCGGGAGAAGCGTTTGAAAAATGAACAAGAGCCAAGGAAGTCGCATAACTCCAGGAAGTAGATAGAGTAATGGGAAGATAAGCCGCGAAAACTTTGGCATTTCTGGTAGGGTAGCCCACAGTTTCTGATAGGGTAACAT